GAGTGCCAGGTGTGGCCTTGGCCAGCTGTGGCCAACAGCCTACAGCTGGGTTCAACAGTCACCCAGTATAGAAGAGAGATGCGCAGTTTGTGTTGTGACTGCCTGAAGCCCCCATTCAGATGGGAGCATCTTTAACGTCTAACTGATTCACGTGGAGAGATTTCTGGGGGAAGAAGTGAGAGCCCAGAGGCTACGAGAGACAGCAAGGTGGGCTGTAGCCCTCCAGCTGCCAGAGGGAGCATCATAGGCTGGGAAGGAAACGCTCAGAACAGTGAATGAGGCCAGACGGTACGGAACCACGGCTGTGCCACACCTGCTGCCCCTTCACTGAGTGTCCCTTACCCAGTATGGGAGGACACTAGCCATTTGGGTTTTGAGTTTTGGATTCTGGAAGGGTCTCAGATGTCTATCTAGCGAGCTACTGGGGACAGGTTTCTGCCTAACCCAGACATATAAATTTTGTCCACATGGCCCGAGGATAATTTTATACAAGGCTTCCAGTGTGCCTGTGTTTTGACTGCGACATACTGGGTGAGGTCAGGTGCGGAGTTCCAGGTGAGGTAGTATGTCAGAACTCAGACCATTTCAGATTTTAGATGCCTCTGTGTCCTTGGACAAGGTACTTCGCATTTCAGAACCTCGGTTTCCTCACCTATAACATAAGGATAATAATTCTTCACAAAGAGGGTGTAGATGTCCCTCTTTGTGTCATGTGTAGATGTCAGCTAAATCACTTGCATTACACAATTTGACATAAGCAATGGCATACAGTGTTCAACAGTAAATAGTAGCCATTATAATACATATACACACACATATACATATATTATACACACATATACACACACACACACCACAGTATGCTGATCAGGAAATATTAAGCTGTGTTGTTTAAATCCCAAGCCCAAACAGTATCTTTTACTGAAAGATTTGGTAGAGAAAACCTTGGTCTAGGCTTTAAAAATGGGATCTTGGGGTGTCTCTAGTTACCTCTAAGCAATGTGATGGTGGTCCCCGGACATCAGCTTTCTCATCTCCAACCCCACCCTCAAAGAAAACAGATTTCTCTACCTAGAGAGATAGTAAAGGAGACTAAAAAAGGAATTGGGTGAGCATCTGGGGAGATGGCTCCGTGGGCAAGGAGCCTGCCATACAAGCTTGAGGGCTTGAGCTCAGATCTCCAGTGAAAAGCCAGGCAAGGTGGAGATAAAGGATCTCTGGGACATATCTAGCTGTATCAGTGACCTCCAGGTTCAGTGAGAGACTCTGCCTCAAAAAATAAGGGGAAGAGCGACCGAGAAAGACACTAAGCAATGACATCAGGTCCCCACACGTGTGTGCAAGCACTCACATGTGAACCCCTGACACACACATGCAGAAGCAATTGGGTGGCTCAGAGGTCCTCACTAAAGAGCTATGAGGCAGAGAATCTGAAAGGGAGAAACTGAGTCACGTTCTGAAAAGGCAGCAAATGTAGCCAGGGATTGGTCAGAACTCGGGACAGACAGAAAGGTGATCAGGAATCAGAGGGAAGAGGAAAAGCGACTTTGTGCAATAGATAGAAACCAGGGGGAGAGACTATGTGTGCCTGTGCTTTCTCCATGGCTCACATCTGCAAGGCACTGGCCACATGTTATTGTGTCTTCAGAACATTACTGCACGTGTTTAACATTACCCAACCCATTTTGCAACAAGGAAACGAGAATTCTAAGAAATAGTTTCCAACGCCACCAGCTTGTAAAAGACTGAATCTCCAACCGGTGTTTGTGCCTCTTCACCTGGGCCCTTACCGTGACAAAGCAATACAATAGGCCATTGTGCTTTCAGATTTTTCCTTAATGTCAATAATAAATCTGGATAATACATTTTCCCATGTTAAATCTGCACAAGCGCATTCAAAGTTTTATCTTTAGTCTTTACAGCAAAGAGCCCCTGAGAAGGAACACTTCATGTCGACGCCATTCTGAGTCTCTTTCTCAGCTGCTCCAGACGAGTTTTCATCAGAGCAGGTGGTAAGCGTGAAGTCATTGAAGGTGACTTCCAGCATGTCCCCGGATGAACCATATTGTGCTTTGTCCACTGTCACCAGACATTTCCCTTGTTGGTTCAGTATAAGGAAAATGTTATGCATTTTAAAAAATTATTTGCAGCCGGGCGGTGGTGGCGCATGCTTTTAATCCCAGCACTTGGGAGGCAGAGGCAGGCGGATCTCTGTGAGTTCGAGACCAGCCTGGTCTACAAGAGCTAGTTCCAGGACAGGCTCCAAAACCACAGAGAAACCCTATCTTGAAAAAGCAACATAAATAAATAAATAAATAAATAAATAAATAAATAAATAAATAAATATTTGCTTTCTTTTTGAGTATGAATTATTAAAAATAGGTTAAATTAGCCAGACTTTAAACCCAGTTAACAAGACAGTTCTGATATCTGAGCAGACATTCCAGTCCTCTCTCAGGTTATTGGAGTGAGCCCGAAGCTTTCTGCTTTTCCACTCTTAAAGGACTTCGGCACACACAACACAGTTAATGAAGCCTGGGGCTGACTGCTAACCTGAGTTTCCATTCCTACTCTGTGATTCTGAAGGAGCCTGTGAGATCAGCTTCCTTTGGCTTGACTTAATCCAACTCCAGCTGGGAGGAGAAGCTGATGGTCTATGCCGGGTCAGGCCGGTGGGCAGGCACAGGTGGGGCGCTGTCCCTAACAAGGGACATGGCTCTCCAGCTTGATACTAAGATTCTGAATGTCACTTTTGCAGGTGTTTTCTCTCTCCTGATCTCATCTGACCCTTCGAATATTCCCCCAAGGTGGACAGGACAGAGGACATTCTCTCCCCTACCCAGAGGAGCTCAGCACCTTGTTCCAATCCCAGAGCCACCGGCTTGACTGAACCTCGCTGTGGCCCGTGTGGGTATCAAGCTCTTTACATTAGTGGAACATTTCAGACAAGCTCAGAATCTCATTAATAACAATTAATGACAACACAAAACTTATCTAGATACAAACGCTTCCCCTAAACCCGTCTCTGGTTCCAACCTCTAGAACTTTGCAGGGAAGTACATCATGACCTTGGTTCAGTCCTGGTGTGATGACCACGGATTGCCGTCTGTGTCAATAACTCAGCTTTAATCCTCTCCACAGTGACCCTGAAGTGGTAAGTCTGTTCTGCCTGCTCAGAGGTCACAAGATGTCATGACCCTAGGAGAGCCTGTTCTGCCTGCTTAGAGGTCACAAGATGTCTGGACTGACCCTAGGAGAGCTCTGAAGTGCTGGCAGGACATGGGACGTTGTCACTGTTGGTTTTAATTCTTGACAAACAACTCTTCCTATCATGGCTTCACCCAGTACTTTTGAGTTCTAAGAGGCTCCCTCTTTCAACACATCTGACCACAAGTCAGCCTTTGAGAGTGTGTAGATTCAGCCTAGGTCTACCCATACAGAGGGGCTGTGATAATTTTAGTAGCTTCTGGTAATCCCCTAGTTAGGGAAGTGTCAAATCTGAGAGACATTGCATAAAGCAAAAACCCTGCCTCAAAACATGGAGAGTCCATGGTTGGGAAAGCTAGGAGCAGCCACTACTTGTACCATATGTCCTAACTCAGATGGCAGCTCCAGTCAACGTAAGAGACGGGAGCCATGAGCCACGGGCAGAGCTTGGATTGTGTTGTTGAGACAGGCTCCCTTCAATTGAAGTATTTATTACATTTATTTGTTCTTTTATTCATTATCACAGCATGTGCACGGAGGTCAGAGGGCAGTTAGCAGGAACTGGTTCCCTCTATCCATCCCTCATGTGGGTTTCACGGCTCAAACTCAGGTCGTCAGGTTTGGAGGCAAGCACCTTGACCTGCTGAGCCAGCTCATGGGCACGCTTCAGTTTTCTGATAGCAAATCGAAGAGCGCTTGCCCAAGCCCTGAATCTCACTTCGTTTTAATGTATCAGATATCACGTCTAGCTGTGCGACTTCCTGTTCCAGGGGAAGTGGCATACTCAAATGATGCAGAGGTAGCCTTCTCTACATGGACATCCTTGTGAATGAGATGTTTCAATCACCTCTCTCTTTGACATCACCACGTTGGGACTTTGCTACCAAAACACAATAGTTAATACTATTGGGCCCTTTTAACTGCAATATATATATTAACTGCAACATATATATATGCAAGTTATATATATATATAAAACTATAACTATGTTTTACCCATTTTACAGATTGAAAAAGTAACTGAGCTTCACAAAGTATAAGGTGGTTGCTCCAAATTGTACAGTTGGTAGATACTAGAAAGGGATTTGAACAAAACTGTTTGACTAGCACAATTGCTGGTCTTTATGAGCTAGGCTCTCTTACCAAGGGCTCAGATCATGTTGCCTGACCCTCCTGAGTCTTAGAATCGCAGGCATGCAGCATTCTACCCAGACTTCTGAAACTATTAATAGCGAGTACTCTGTGCCTCTCCATTTACATCAACCTCAAATGCTGAAGCTACTGGTCCTTCTTTCTTCAAAGAGTTCAGGAAGTTTTGCACAGCCCTGCTCAGTCAGATTAACCAAAAAACAAACAAACAAAAAAATAGGATCTCACTATGTAGCCCAGGTAGGGCTTGAATTCATGATCTTGCTGCCTCAGCCTCCCCTCTGCTGAGATTATCAGCACATCCTCATATTTGGTCTTAAATAGCTCTTCTTGCTCACATTTTTTTTAATGGTTTGGATACAACATTCTGAGAAAATCTAAACAGTTGTACACTGTATCAAGCTGGATTCATAGATGTATTTCACTCCATTCAGAATATACTAGTTTATATGAATTCGTTACCAACCTTTAAAAATATAATTAATAATCCAAAGATGCCTGACTTTCTATCGACATTGATCATAATGTGCACTTAATCAATATCCGATGAATGGCTGTTAGCAAATCTTTTACTTCCCCTTACACCACCTAACAAAAATCTAAGCAACCAGTTAGTCAATCAGCAAGTCTTTATTGAATCTCTACTATGCACCAAACAGAAGTTGCTTCATATCTAAATTGCTTCCAGCGAGCTCCCATCACAAAGAAAAATTGCTGGGTCCTCCCACAAAACAACCTCAGTGGCTGAGTCACACCTCTCCCTTCTTCAGCCGGCCCATGCATCACTCCCGCATTCCCAACGCAAGCCAGAGCCTGTTTCCTCAGGATCACAAAACTCTGGATGCAGCAGGGGTTGGATGAGATCTTGACGTCTGAATCAGGCTGACAGGATTTGAACACAGGCTCCACTGAGTGGGAGGTCTGTGACATGGGGCAGATAATGGGTTGACTCCTCTGAACTTCAGTATCCCGCGGAACCTGACGGAGGAGAATGGACTCTGTTAGGTTCTACATGAAAGGAGAGGACTCTGGTTGGGTCGAACTGTCCTTCAGAGTAAGTGCATGGTGGGTGGTAACAAATGCACAAACAGGATGAGGGGAATGAATCCCAGGCCATCTTTTCTGAGCAGTCCATGGTTCCCTTGGGCTTCTAACCCCATCTCCCTGTGCAGAGGGCTTGGGAAGCTGGAATTTTCCACCACTTCCTGTGCTTTGTCTTTCTTCCCTGTCTCAGCCCATGCCTGGGGCTGAGGGCTGCCCAAGAAGAATCCTGGGGCCAGCATCAAACCACAGGTCTTGACATAGAGTTCAAAACCTCCAGGCTAACACAAGCTTTTATCAACCAGATGTTCTCAGCCTGCCTGGAACTGCCTGTCCCTACCAGCTGCAGGCTCCAGTTTGGAGGTAAGAACTGAAGAACAGCCGAGAACCCTCCTGTCTCGCCACCCTCCCCCCGGCTCTCAGTGCTGGGTGCCCTGACTTTCCACTCACCCCGGGGCCTGGATGAGCCAGTTCTCCCAGCCTGCTCTAGGACTGGCCCGATGCCATGTGGTCCAGTCATCAGCCGCAAGTTCTGTTTAATTATTCCAAGTGCACATGACACACGCAGAAGGGGTCTAGTGATGTAATTACGAGGGGTGGGGTGAGCCCAGCTGATGGAAAGAATGTGTCACTCTGGCTTTGGAGCACAGGGGGCAAATTTCTCAAGGGCTTCCCTGTATGTGACCCTCCATGGGTCCCTTCACTCAAGATCTCTTGCCTCATTCACCAGCCAGATGTGGCAGAGAGAAGGTTGGGTATGCACAGACTGCAGGAGCTGTGTGCCATCAGCTGTCCATCTCCAGGCCTAGTGACCAGCCCCTCAAGCTCATCCTGCCTGCCTTGTCCATCTAAGAGCCAGGGGCCAATCAGAAACTTAACCAGTGTAACCCAACCAGTGTAACAGCAACCAATAATCCAAACATTAGGGACTCAGAGTCAGGACTTTGAGACCAGCCTGCATCACAGTATGAAAACTTGTCTCAAAAAAACCAACCTCCCCCCAAACTGGGGAGCAGAGGAAGAGCTTTGTCTACTCATCCCATAAAATGGTTCTAACAACTCAATTTACATATAGTATAAGTCAGTTGTGGAGAGTGTACAGTCAAATAGTTTTTATATTCACAAAGTTGTGCAACCATAAACAATTATCATAATTTCATCTTCATCACCCCCTCCAAAGGAACATGTTTCTCATTGGTGGTCAGTCCCCACTTGGCCCCATGTCCCTCCCACAGCCATAAGCGATGTCGAACCTACTTTTGTATCTGTAGCTATGACTACCCCGCACATTTCTTATGAATAAAACAATAGATCATGTGGCCTCCCATGTTTGGATGCTTTGTTTGTCATAGCATGCTCAAAGCCCATTCCTGAGTTAGAACTTTAATCTGTTCCTGTGTGAGTGTGTTGGGGGTGTACACGTGCGGGAGTATGCATGCATGTATGTGAATGTGGAGGTCAGTATTAGAGATCTTTCCTCAATTGTTCTCCACTTTAATTTTTTGAGACAGGGTCTCTCCCTGAACCTGGAACTCGTTAGTTTGGCTGAGGCTGACCAGTGAATCTCAGGGACCTTCCTGCGTCCTCCCCTGCCAGGACTGGGCTCACAATCATGAACCACGTTGTCCAGCTTTTTATGTGTGTTCTGGAGCTCCCAACTCAGGCTCTCACATGTGCACCCCAGGCGTCTTAACCACTGAGTCATCTCCCATTGTTATTGTGGAATAATATCCCACTTTGTGGATACGCTGTATTTAATTTATCCATTCATCATCCGCTGGTCGTTTGGACTGCTTTCACTCCTGTGGGGCAGTTATGAGTAAGGCTGCCAGGAACACCTGCGGGCGAGCGCTTGTGTGGGTATATGTGTCCAGCTCTTTTAAGTGTATGCACCTAGGAGTGGACTTGCTGAGTTGTATGGAAACTCTGCGTACCTTTTGGACAAAACTGTCTACAAACAAGGTTTTGTTTTTAAATCCAGTGATTCTTTTAAGGGTACGGTCTTTATCGGATGCAACAGTAAACGAGAAATAAGAAACACATCAATTATGGCTCCAGAGGTAGCTTCCCTAGGTCCTTTGAAAGACACTGATATGCTTAAATCTCTCTGCCATAGTTCATTTTCCTTAATCTTAAATACTCAGAGCCATGCTTCCTTGTGTGGCAGCAGCGGCCTCTCTTCTGCCTCTGGGGAACTCTAATCCAGTGAAGAGGGAAGCAGGATCGGATGTTTGGTTTGTTTGTTTGTTTATTCCTTCTTTAGCACTTTCTCACCGAAATACAATGAACTTTAGCTTTTCACTCAGTGCCATGTCTCATCCTCTCTCCTCCCATTGAAACCTACTTTTATTTATTTTTTTTCTCACAAATAATTTCTAAGTCTTGTGTGCCAGACCTGAGCTAGGTGCTGAGATTCTGCGTAAGTCTGGAACAAACAAACAAACAAACAAACAGCAACAATAAAAAACTGAGTTCTCAATAACTTCAGCCATCCAAACACGAGGACCTTCCCCCTCACAGATAAGAAAACAGAGGGCATGAGGTAGAGATCCGTAGTCTTAAAAGAAATTAATTTTCAATAGGTTGTTTCCTAATTTTCTGAGAAATCGCCATACTGATTTCCAAAACTGCTGTACCAGTTTGCACTCCCACCAGCGATGGAGGAGTGTTCTCTTTACCCCACATCCTCTCCAGCATAAGTTGTCCCTGCATTCCTGCATTGGCTTCATTTACTCCTCGTGCCAGAGCAGCCCTTTGCTGCCCTTTCACAGCTGGTGGCGCGCTACTATGTGTCAATGTCACAATTTGTTTGCCCTTTACCAGGTGGTTGAGATTCTGTTATGTCCTATGCGGGGCTATCGGGCTTCTGGAAACACATATATTGTTGCAAAAATGATTTTTTTTTCATTTCTCTTACACAAATACCTAGAAGTGGAATTATTCGGCCATATGGTATTTTGTTCAACTTTACAAGAAATACTAAGCCGTGGCTTTCATTTTTATTGCATTTATGTGTTTATTTGGCATGTATGTGTAGGGGCGCACACATGCTGTGGCACTTGTGGAAGTCAGGGGACAACTTGAGGGAGTTGGCGCTCTCCATCCACCATCAGGGTTCTGGGGATCCAGGTCCGGTTGTCAGGCCTGGCTGCAAGCATCTTTACCCACTGAGTCATCTCACTGACCCACTGAACTGTTTTACAGCGGTTTGCTATTTACTTAGCCATCAGCAGTGAAAAGAGCCCTAGTTGCTGGACCCGCTCACAAGACTGCTACTGTGTCGTTCTCTTTCCCGCCCGCACAGGCGTGCATTGCCTTTGGTGTGGTTTCTAGCTGCAGCTTTCTGATTTCTATAGATGCTAAGTGAAGGGACTCTGACCAGCTTAAGTGTGGCGAGCATGGATTTGGCAGGCCTTCCTGGATTCCCTCTGTCTTACTAAACTGTTAGGTTGCATTCTTAAAGCTAGCCACCAAGAAGGTCTGTTTCCTTACTTGGCCACTTTCTCCTCCTGAGGCTGTCTATCAAGATCCAGGTACTGAAATATTAAGGTTCAGCAATGAGAAGCCCCCTTTGATTCACCCAATTAACTTGCCAATTAAAATTAGTCTAGAAGTTCAATGCACTATCCATTGCACCACAGAACCAGGTGTGTGCCAATTAAAATTAAACACCTCATCCTAACACCGGGTCTGTCTCCAGGACAAATAATCCTGCCCCCTTTCCCTTGTCATCTTCCCTTTCTCCCTCATCCCCCATCTCCTTGGCCACTACATCCTAGCCCATTCTAACACAGACCTCCCCTTTTCTCTTAAAATTACACCTGCAAGGTCATTTGCTGTTTTTCTTTTCTGCTTAATAAAGAATCTGTGAAAACAGGTGTTTGGATGGAGGCTGTGTCTAATCCAGGGTCTGGGAGGGAGCCCCAGTTGTGCAGGGGTCCCTTTCACTGAGCATGACCTCTACTCTTTGGTGAAGTCTCACTAAGAATTTTGCCTTCTCACCTGTTTTTATCTATTATCAAATAATAACTTTACATGCAGTGATATCTTTAGCACAATCTCAATATCTGGAAATACATTTTGCAAATGTTTTCTTTCAGTCTGTGACTTTTTCTTTTCTTTAGAAATGCCTTTTAAAAGGAAATTTTTCTTTACATATTTCTCTCTCTCTCTCTTTTGATCAAGGTTTCTCTGTGTATTTCTGGCTGTCCTGGAACTCACACTGTAGACCAGGCTGGCCTCGAACTCAGATATCTCCTCAGAGGCTTCTGCCTCCAGAGTGCTAAAAATAAAGGCATGTGCCACCACTGCCCAGTCACTTATTCCTTTTTAAAAGTTGTATTCCTCATGACTTATCTAAAAGTCATTGCTTAATGGAAGAGAGTTTCCTGCTGCTGTCCCCTAGAATTTTATAATTTCACCTTCTACACCCAGCGGCGGTGGCGCGCACCTCTAGTGTCAGCGCTTGAGAGGCCAGGGCAGATTCTGAGTTCAAGGTCAATTCTTTACACAGAGAGTTCCAGGATCATCAGGGCTACACAGAAAAAAAAAACCTGTCTCAAAAGCAAGCAAACAAGAGCAACAACAAAACCTTGGGAATGTTTAGTTGCTTTTCCTGCGCCTGCAAAGTCGAGAAAGGAGCCACAGTTGAAGGGTGAAGTCCATCACGGCACAGGAGCCCTTGTGTCAGAAGCCCTGGGCAGCGAGTCCATCACATCTCCTGTCAAGACAAAAATGGTGACTGCCCAGGTCACTTTCCTCCTTTTCCTCAGCTAAGGACCCACGGAATGATGCTACCTCCTGTGGGGGAGTCTCCCACCTCAATTAACCTCTAGAGAATCCTCCCAGAAGCGAGAAGCTGAACTAATAACTTGGGCAGGCTTCCACCAGCATGCCCCAAAGCTTGTCCTCCAGGCCATTCTAGATCCGGGCAAGCTCACAGTCAGTACTAATCACACGACTATTTCAGGTTACCGCTTATACGCGGCATAAGGTGAGGACCGTTTGTTTTTCACTGTCAGCATCTAACTGCTGAGGTATCCTCTGCCAGAAAGACTTTGTTCCACTAAAGCGCCTTATCTATACTGCCAAGCAGGGGCTGACTGAAGCAGGCTTGGAGCTCTCGGTGGCGGGAGCCTTAGAAGAATCTGGGGCATTCTTCTACATTAGAGTCAACTCCTCAGCAGCACTGAGATGGTTTAGAAATAATATCCTATACAGTAGGATAGAGTAGGCAGTAGATGTCTGGTGTGGAGCACGGCAAACCCCCAAACTGCCAACCCCTAGACAAGAATGAAAGGAGGGTCTTGAGCAACCACACATATTATCCCAGGACCGACACCCAGGAGGTCAACTGAGAAATGTCTCACTGAAGAGAGTAAGGAGGAACTCCAAACACAACATTGGGCTCTGTCTTGGAAGAACTTAAAAAAAAAAGGTGCGTGAGTATGTGTATACATACATACATACATACACACTATTACACACATATATATGTATATATGTATGCATATATATATGAGTGTGGTCAGGTGCTTGCAGAGGCCAGAAGGTAGTACAGGATTCCCTGAAGCTGAAGTTACAGGCAGCTCACCCACCCATTACACTGTTTTGCAAAGCAGCTGTGCTATTTGCACATTCACTGGCCCCTGATACAAATGCTGGGACTCGGTCCTCTGGAAGAGGAGCAGGTGCTCTTAACTGCTGAGCCACCTCTCTAAGCTATCCTCTGTCATGGACACCACCCCCAGAGGCCTCTTCTAGTCTTTCTTGTGAGGTGTCAGAGGGGATGTCAGGGGGCTGTTCTGGTCAGAGGTGGGACAGAAGGAGAGACATCACTGACTGAACTGGTCCAAAGCACTGATGCATGGGTCAGAGTCAGGCATACCTGCATTCCTAGGTAGAAAGAACAAAAGAGAAGAGAAGAGAAGGGAAGGGAAGGGAAGGGAAGGGAAGGGAAGGGAAGGGAAGGGAAGGGAAGGGAAGGGAAGGGAAGGGAAGGGAAGGGAAGGGAAGGGAAGGGAAGGGAAGAGAAGAGAAGAGAAGAGAAGAGAAGAGAAGAGAAGAGAAGAGAAGAGAAGAGAAGAGAGAGAATGGTATGTTGCGCCTCTCATAGGAAGTCCAACCCAGGCTAGCCCCAGAACTGGCAGTCAATGAACTAGGAGTCTGTATGTGAAGGCGCCACAAAGCACTTAGATTATTTAGCACAGGGTTCTTAGTCCTGGCCTCAAAAAATATCACCTGTCAACATTCAGCAACTCGCCAGTGGCCAGTTATGGTGGTACCTGACCACTATCCTAGAATTCAGGAGGTTGAGGCAGGAGGATCTCAAGTTTGAGACTAACCTGGGCTACATAGTAAGTTTCAGACCAGCTTGAATTACAGAGTGAGACCTGTCTCACAAAGATCAAAGGAACTAACTGTTATTTGGATCTTTCCCCACCAACTCTGCGGGGGCGACCTGGACGAGGATGCTGTTAGTCATGAGAACCTGTATTCACCTAAGAGAGGTGGAAGCCAGGGAGCAATGTTGGGCAGACACTCACACGACTGACTGTCCTCTCTTGCCCAGGACTGAGGAGGTCCCAGGCGGTGAGAAGTTTCAGGTTTAAGGCAGAACAGTCCCAGAAGATGGGGCTTTCAATGCGGAAACTGGGAAGGTCCCAGGAACCTGAACAAATGGCTGGTCTCATATACACTGCCCAGTGTCTTTCCCAGTTAAAGTGACAGAGCAGGTGACCAGTGAGTTGTGGACGGCCAGTGGGTGTCTGGCTAATAAGTTGTTAGTGTGTAGAACCCTTCTGCTAACTTCCCTCTGGGCAGGACATCTTCAAAGATCAGCAACAAGACCATTGGTCAATTTCCTCTGCAGGAGGCGTATACAGTAAACAGTATAGAGGCAGAGTGGAGGATGGGAGTGGGGGTGCTCCATTGAGGCCATGTATGGCTTGGTTCAGACATCTGTTTCCATAGTTTCCTGCTTCTGGGGAGTGCACAGGGCTTCTTTCTTGTCTAAATCTCCTTCCTACAACATACTTTCATATACCTCTCCCATGGAGTACTTACCACAGCCATAACTTTGTACCTCAATATCTCAGTGTGAGACAAAGCACTGTAGCTCAGACTGTCCCTAACTATATAGCCAAGGATGACCATGAACTAGTGATTTTCCTGCCCCCACCTTCTGAGCAATGGGATTATAGTTATATACCACCTTGTCTGGTGTGTGTGATAATCTGATTGCTGATGCAAAGATTTTAAACAAGGACAGAGGTCAGGTTCTCTTTAGCTGTTTATGGTCTCATTGTCGGCTAATAGTAAACTAAGCGACATGCAGAGGTGCCCCCACAAATGACTTTCATACAAGGAATGCTTCCTTGCGTGAAAGAATCAGGGAGTATCATTACTGATTTGTAATCCTTGCATCCTTCTGATTTCAGCCCAGCTAGAGGTGAGGATTGAGTCTTTGTCTAGCAAGGTCCAAACCGCTCTGATAAAATCCTCCAGACAGAAGCACAGGCATAGTGACGAGGGAAGTAAAAGCCCTGCTTCAAGGCCGCTTTGGGGCACTTACTACCCAAGATCCGGCTCCTTCTGGAAGTAGAACTACTGATTAGCCTCGTATCCGGCCCCCACACCTTCCTGCTTCAGCAACTGCGTCCGTCATCATTGTTAACATCTGTGATGTGTAGGACTCGCTAGGCAGGGTACACAAACTCATTGCAGAAGGCCTGTGGATTTTTCGTCATCCTCACCGCCATGGCCACCATCATCCTCACCCTCATCACCATCACCATCAGATCGTTACCAAACACGCCATCGGTCCAGGGAATATGCCGAGTGCTGCGGGGGGAGAGGGGATAAGATGAAAGTCACTAATCAGACATGACCAACATGTGTTACATTCCACACCTGGGCAGATAAGATAAGTACTTTCCAAAGAAGCTCCTCAAACTGAAGGGCAGTTTTAATAAATGCCAGGCACACGGCAAAATTGGTAAGGGGTGCCTCATTTCAGAGGAGGGAGAGAATGAGCTAGAACTGTGGGTCGGGCTGGGCTGGGTCACGGTGTTCTCCGCTGTGTCACCGTTTCCTTCATGTTTCAAGGGCAGGCGTCAGTCTCAGGCACCCTCGCTGCACTGCCCAGGTACACCAGAAACTGGACCGGACTCTGATGATGACAACACGTGAATGAACCAAGAGACGATCTCATCTGCACCCAGCGCCCCGACTCTACGGAGGTGATGTGGTCCTGCCTGGTTCTCACGCCAAAGAACACCCAACTACTGAAGTCATCCCTGCTGAGTCATTTCCGGGGAAGCGGCTTGAAAAATCCGCCTGCTCTTTCTGATGTCCCACCTTGCAGCATCTGTCTTAGGGTGCCACCTAGTGACATCATTCGGAAAAGCTGTCTGCGCCTCCCACCTCCTGCTTACCTCATTTACCTACTCACGCCCCCACCGTCCACCCCGCTGTAACCACAAGGTTCCAGCTCCCCGAACAATAAGACACCCCTCTTTCCAGTCTCCTTCCTCTATGGTATCCTCATTGTGACCCTTGCACTGAGCATCTCCTTGAAGAAACATCATATTGCCAGCTTCCAAGATTTCTTGGACTTCTCTAAGGCATCCTTTCTAAAGTTAGCCTGAGCCTTGCAGGTTAGGTGCAGAGGAAACCAGTGCCGGGCTTCAAGTCCCTGAGATATTGGGCCAGGGCTTGTGTCTCCCAGTGTTGCCTGTAGATCCGATGCTTCAAGTCCCTGAGTTGCTGGGCCGGGGCTTATGAGCCGGGACTTATGTCTCCAGTGTTGCCTGTAGATCTGTGTCCTTTTCGAGCTTCCCTTCCTCTGTGCTGAGTGCCACACAAATTCTTGAGTCCTCACTCCCCAGAGTGCCACCAGCTCAAGGCTGTACATGTAGCTCACTTTACCATCAGAAGGGAAGGCCTAAGGTGGTGTGTGTGTGGGGGGGGGGGAGCTGTCATCGTCAAATAACCTGAAGCAAAGGAATGGAGATCTATTGAGCTGCCCAGAGATGGGGTGCTTAGGTGAACATGATATTTGAAGCCCTGGCCTTATGACTAGTGTTCTGGTGGCTCAGGGTTATTCAGGGTATGGGATCCCTAGGCTACACAGACTGCTAAGAGTCTTACTCTCATGAGAAGTCTGGTGGAGGGAGGCAGGTAACAACTGGCACGTCAATTAATGGATGATTTCTGTAATAAGGAGTCCAGAAAGGAAAATAAAATGGCTGGTCAAAGGCAGAAGAAACTACTTGGTGGTCCAAGCCAGACCTTAACGGTAAGAAGGATTCAGAGGGAGACCGTGAAGAGGAGGCTGGAGAGATGGCTTAGCGCATGAGAACAGGCGTTTCTCTTGCAGAAGACCCAGGTTTGATTCCCAGCAGTCACGTGGCAGCTTCTCCTTAGCCCTTTGTATTCGGTGAACGGATCACACACAAAAATTACTTTACGCAAGGGAGTTTTTCCTTTTTCATTTGGTTCCTCTCTTGGTTTTGGCTGGGAATGAAAGGAAGAACTGAGATTGCCACCCAGAGAGCAGAGTAGAGAACACTGCTTAGAAACAGAAGTGCAGACGTGAACTCACACAGGCCTCCCCTGGAAATCCCTCCTGAGGAGGCTCCCATGGCAGCAGCTCTGGGAATCTCAAAGACCAGGGAGTATCACCAAGCTCAGGATCACAGTCTCCACCCCAAGAAGTTAAGTTCCGCCACCTGCCCTCCAGAATCCGATTGAAATAGCCAAATGAACAGTGAAAAGTAGGAAAAGGAGATTGGTTCACTGTGGCCACATTGGGAAGAGGCAGAAAGAGGTCCAGTGACCACTTCAAGCCCACTTCAGAAGCCTAAAGTGGAATTAAAATTTAAACAGAGGGCTATGGAACATACACATCTAAGCAGTCCTGGCCAGAGTGTGGTAACCCCCACTACCGACAAATCATTGTCTGGGCTTCATTCGGTCTCGTCCCGTGAGGCGGTCTGACAAGCTGTGCATGTCTTTCTGGGAAACAGGAATCCGTCCCCCACTACACCTCCAGCTAGTTTGATGGTCAGGTCCAGGGAAATTCATTTTTCCCAAGCCCATTACTAGAGCACAGCTGACTTCTTGGATGTAGTCCTCAATGCATCCATGTGCCCTTCTGAATTTGCCTTTGTGTCGGCATCTCATGGTGATTCCCACTTAAATGAGAGTCCAGAAGGCATCGTGGACCTTGCTGAAGATCGGAGAATTGTGAAGAGGGAAAGGTAGGCTTGGCTCTACCCTGGCACCCTGAACCACACACGACGGCTGCTTCTCCGGTCTCCTGACTCCAGTGTCCAGCTGTGCAATGCCTGCTCATTTCTTTGCTGTTGCAGCGACTCCGTGCTGAGAGCTGAAAGAAACTCGATGGCGTAAACAGCTTCTTTACCAAAGGCACTTGGGTCAGTTTCTGAAATTTTTTTTTTTTTTTGGTTATCATTGAAAGTCCTGGATGCGAGGTTCAAGGGGATGCTGAGGCAGGTTGTTGAGGATAAGAAGTTTGTTAGAAGAAGTTTTAAATTCCATGGAGAGACAGACAAACAGCATGGTGGGAACTCTGAGGAGAGTTTGAGACCCCAGGATCAGGCACAGACAACATGTCAGGGGCTCTGAAAAGGGGAATCGGGGTACACATGACTGAAATGGGATCTCTTCTGAGGGTGTGGCGGTTTCAGAGTAGAAGCCGGCAGCCAGGCACTCTGATTCCCAGGCAAGAGGCTGGGGAAGCAGTGGGGAGCAGGATGTGGGCCACCGATACCCACTTTGATGTACAGTCAGTTCTGCAGAAGAGAAATGCTGGCAGCTGGAATTATGTTAGTCACGGACCCCTTATCCCCTTGGTGGGGTTCCTTGTCAGTATCTGGGAGAGGGGGACAGGCTGTGGCGGGTGTTGTGGTCTGAGCCAAAGTCTAGTCTAGGTTCTAACGGTATCTTCTCACGATCCTCTCTGTTGGTGCGATGCCAGCAACAGGGAAGTTAGTCTAGAATACACGACACAGACACCCACAGCGGAGTCAGCGGGGCCAAGATGTCACAAGTACTGAGGTTACAAAGCCCCAATAGGGTAAGGTTAGGTGGGGACACCAATAAAGCAGGTGGCCACTGTGACATTATCATCACAATTTAACCTCACTCTGGGGCCTGGTTTTCAAACCCTGATTTTGTGACTTCTCAGAGATAAATCTTCTAAAGAAATGATTCACAACCAAGCCAAAAGCCTGAGAACTTTACTTTTAATGGTTTTAAAGCCGACATCCACTGAAGCAAAGCAAGAAACTCTCCCCATGATTCACACAACGCCTTAGAAACACCAAAATAATAATAATAAAAAAAAAAAACAAAAAGCAACAACACAAACTCCCTCCAAACCTCTCCCCACACGCTACCCCCATCGGCTCACCATCAACCCACCCTGCCAGGTCCATTCCAAACAACACGGTACCTGACTTCCTGCTGGCAGGTGACACTATCTGTCCGGCGCTTCAGTGGCAGTTGAAGCCCTTCAGACCCGATGATAATTCAAGACAGAGACAAGGCCAGTGCGTTCTCTAATGACACGTTCATCCATGTGCCATAAAAATCCTGCGAAAGCACCATCGAGATTTTACTTTTCAAATTTTTATGTTTCATGTGTCTGGATAGTTTGCTTGCATGTATGTCTGTGCACCAATTACATGCATGGTGCCCACAGAGGCTGTTGGACAGAGTTTCCAGTTCCTCTGGAAGAGCAGCCAGGGCTCTTAACCACAAAGCCGTCTCACCCGCCCCCTCCCATCTACCATCTTCTTGTCAACAAAACTGTGAGTTCTTGCTCAGCAGAGGACCACTCCGGGAAGCCAGCAGCTTACCCAGTGGGGAGCAACTGTGCACAGTGAAAGGATTGATGTTTAGAAGCCTCAACCTTCAATAGTGTCTTCCTCACGCCACGATGAGAAAGCCGGATCCTATCACACAGACGCTACTGTTGAGTATTCATCGCTTCAAGCTCCGTCTGAAGTAGGGACACCAGGCCTTCACCCATGACACCCTTGCCCTCCATCAGCACACCGTCCAGGCTGTGTCTGAGTCTGTCTGCAGCCCGAAGCCCATCAGGCTCTGGGGCCTGAAGTGTTGCTAGTTTAGTGTGTGTTTCCTTGGTCTACCAGCAGAACTAGCTCTTGAGGGCTCCGACGCACCTCGCCCTGGCCCTGGGGTAGGTCACCTGCGACGTTCTATGTTGTGTCACGCTGACTTGAGCAGATTCTAGGGTTGGGTAGGCAGGTTTAGGGGCACAAACCTTCCAGCTCTGGCAGAGTCAGGATTCAGTCCTGGCTGCAGCACCCATCAACCATGCAGCCCTCCCATCAACCCTCTGGGTCTCACTTCCCCATCTGTGGCTGCTGTCTCCGGGGTCAGTGCAAGCCTTGAGTACAGCGCTTAGCTAGACTTTCCTTCTCTGACACAAAGGAGGAAGGTTTATTTGGGTTCGCCATTTCAGAGGTCTCAGAACATGAGCCTCACCCCTGAAGAGTCTGTGCATAAGATCAGGCACAACATAATGGTAGCAAGAGTGTGTGGTCAAGGCTACTGACCACCTGGCAAACAGGAAGCAGAGGCGGATAGAGAGGGGATGGAAGCAAGACCTATCTCCCAAGAACATGCCCCCTGTGGCCTACCCTCTCCAGCTAAATCTTTCTTATTCAAGTTTCCAGACCTTCCCAAAACAGCACCCCTAGATGAGACCCAGCCCTTCATACAGGAGCCCTGTGGAGGGAACACTTCATAGCTAAACCATAACATGTCGTCATGTCTGTAAAGTAGCTAGCCATGTGCCCGACAGAGGGAGAGCTCTCTGTAAATCATCACTGTCACCTATGTCCCTTACCACTGAGCCCAGCAATGGCAGCCCAGCAATGGTACCCTTCCATCGTAGGTACCCAGTGCATGTTTGTGACTTGGGACTGTTTGGAACTCCTTGCTCATCACTTGGTCAGGCACAGGAGCTGTCTGATCAGTGTGGACCAGAGACTTGAGGAAGAGGAAAAGGACATGGGTTAGAGTCCTGTGTGTTCACCCTATTTCACCCCTTTTGATCCATCTGACCCCAGCAGGTGACCTAACCATTTACTTGAAAAGCGAGGCAGATATCAACCACCTTCAGGGTCAGCCCTGCCCTAAAGGAATATAAGCTGAGTTACAAACATGGGCCACCTATGCGGTTCTTAAAAATGGAGTACTTGAGGCAGATATCAACCACCTTCAGGGTCAGCCCTGCCCTAAAGGAATATAAGCTGAGTTACAAACATGGGCCACCTATGCAGTTCTTAAAAATGGAGTACTTGCATTATACGCTGAAAACAAAACTGCACGCCAGTGAAATGAATTTCACTATTTTTTCTTTAACCCAAATATCTAAAATACTGTTTTGATAGGAAATCAATTTTGAAAAAAAAAATGACATAACATTTTGTATTTTCTGTCTCTCTCTTTTTCTTTTTTTTTTTCTCTTTTTCTTTTGTGTGTGTGTGTTTTTGTGTGTGTGTGTGTGTGTATGTGTGTGTGTGTGTGTAGAGGCCAGAGATCAGTGTTGGATGTCTTTCTCAGTTTGATCTTTACCTTAGTTTTGGGGCGGGGTCTCTCACTGAACCAGAAACTCTTCTATTCGGCTAAACTGGCTGACCAGCAGACCCCACGGATCCTCCTGTCTCCCCAACTGGCAGGATAGACCAGCAAAGTTATGCTTGGGGACAGAACTTGAGTTCTTAGGCTTTGATTACAGTGAGCACTTTGCCAATTGGCCCATCTCCCCAACCCTGTATTTTTTGTTTCCTAATATGAGCCTTTGAAATGCAGCATGTTTTGTATGTATTGTATGTTTTAGTTCAGACTAGCGTACAACTGTCACAGTCTCAAAGCACCTAGCTTTTGAGACAGCATAGCTCTGGCCTGCAGAAGTATAAATGATCTCACAGGTAAATTAGGGGGTTCCAAACAGGTACATGGCAAATGTTAACATTATCGCTTCACTGTTTAAAATAGATAGCACAGGCGCTTCTCTGAATAGTTACATGACGATCCTTTTTAACAGCCATGTTTTCACTCTGAGAACATGAAATGTAGCAGGGTACAGGCGGTGGGTACAGGCTCTGCCTGGGTGGATCCAGCCTATGCGGCTTGCTATCATATGGCCTGGATAGATGACACATCTCTGTGCCTCACTGACCCGTCTGGAAAAGGATTTAAATCGAGGCCACATCTCCGGGAGGTAGGAAGAGTGAAATGCGCTCTAGTGTGCGGAACGACAGTGCCTACATGCAGTAAACACACAGCAGGTAGGTATTATTGTGGTTCTTTTTTTAACTGAAAACACAGAACAGTTGGAGGAAATGTTGGTTTATTGATTTGATAGCTTTTTCTACACACACACACACACCTCCAAACCCACTTTTGACATTTCCCTTCCGTGGTTTCTTGATAAAAGGTGGGGCCCCACCTATTTCCTCTTTCGATAAGTTATAAAGAGCCTTTCGTAACTTCAGCTATAAAATGCCTTTAAAAGTTCCTCCATCTCTTTTCTGCCCTTGTCATCTCTGGTCCCAAAGCGTGACCCAGAAGCCAGATGAGGGTCAAAGGACATTCCTTGAATAAACAAAAATAACAAACCGAAGGGTTTGACCTTCGGCCCAGCAGCATTTCTCTGGTCGCTGTCATCCAGTGGCTGTGTCATGAGCCATTAGCATATGACATCTTGTTTCTGACAAATGTCATCTGAGATGAGATTGTTGATCTAGTCACACGGTAGAAGCTCTGCATGTCCAGGATGTGACACCATCCCGTGTGACAAATAGGCCCAGTGCCCTCCTCACTCACCCTGAACAGTCCCAGCAAGCTTTGGCAACACCAGTATGAGCCTGTGTGTGGCTACCAGCCTGGGTTCCAGCTGAAGCTCTGGTGCTAGGATCCGCGTTCTGAGGCAATGGCTGGCACACTTGGGTGTACTTAGAGACTCACTTGGGGGAGTTGTTAAAAGTCTTATTCTGGACTCAAGTCTTAGAAAACATTACTTAAAAGCCAGGCGTGGTGGCACATACCTATAACCCTGAAACTTGGGGCCTCAGGCAGGGAGATCGGGAGTTCAAGGGCATCTTTGACTACATAGTGAGTTTGAGAATATCCTGGGCTACATGAGACCCTGCCTAAAAACAAAGAAATAGCATAAGGAAAATGGTATGTAATAGCTTTGGGATGCCTAGAGTCCAGTGTCTCTTCTCCAAGCCGGGGAAGGCGAACCACTGGTTTTGGAGATGATGTGATTTACATGCCATATGTCACTATGATATTAAACATCCCCGTGACGCTGGGGGAAAAGGGCTGTGTCTGGAGTCTAATGTCACCCTTGCAGCACGTTAAGGGTGTGGCTTCAGACAAGTTTCTTCCCTCCTTGACTCTCAATGTATCGATCTTGAAAATGGAGATGACAAAGTCAACCCTTGAGCTTATGAGGGTTATTAAGTCATATTACAGATGTCAGATGGAATATTACATATTACTGATGTCAGCACCATTTACAGAGCAAACGGCAGGTGTTCATTCATTCAACAATGTGCATTATTGCAAATATGCTTTTTTTGGATTATATGCCAGATGTGGACACATGCCAGGCTCCATTCTAGATTTGGGGGCAAAAAAGGAAGGTGCCTCCTACCTGCCAGGCGCTCCCTACATGCAGGCAGAGAAGAGGAAATAATGAGTCAACAAGGAGGCAGAGGATTCTCCTAAGAATATGAGTCTCCTTTCTTTATTAGTAATAACTATGTAATTATTATTACATTAGTACATCTGAACTAAATACATTATTTTAGATGACAATTGCTACCAATTCAATGCCCCTGCTGATGTCCCCTTCTTGACTGTTTCAAGTAAAGCTAGCCTTCAGCAAAGCTCAGATTCGCTAGAGGCCCCAGTCAGGCTGCAAAACCCTTGTCTTACTACGGTGTTCCCAAGTCTTCCAACACTCCTATGGCTCATTATCTTGTGAGACAGTCTCCAGAAATTTCCTCCAAGGAAGTCATCTTTAAAAGAAGGAAATTTTACCTGCAAAATTAAATATCAAAATGTATTTCAACAAAACACAGGCCCCTTCACCACGGAATCCCCCTTGTGAGAAGCCCACCCTGAGGAAGCCATTATGGAGCCTCTCAAGGAGCGTGTGAGGCAGGATGTCTGCTTCAGCACCTTAAGTGAGAATTTTTACTTTAATAGCAATCAAGAGAGGACTTGACTAGGTAGATGTGGTATTTTCAGAAATAAAGTTCAAAACAAGTACATACACAAGTTCTGAGAGCCTGTCTTGTACCAGGTGTCAACTTTAGAGGTGCCTGATTGGAGGAAAGGTGAGAAGGGTGCATTGGGCAGGGGTGGGGGATAGCTTGAGTGTTGTACCAATGCTCATAGTCTGTTACTGAGTGGAAAAGTCAAATATCCACAGAGGACATGAAGAAAGGCAGAGTGGCTTACACATGTAATATCAGCACTTCGGCGGGGGGCGGGGAGTGCTGAGGCAGGAGAATTGCTAGGAGTGAGCTCTAGCCCAGCCTAGACAGAAAGTAAAACCAGTAAAATTGAAAACAGTTGTGGTATGAATGTCTATGCATTTGCAAGATTCACCAAACCGTGCTGAGGCTCTGTAGGGTTTCTGTGTGTCATGCTCTTAA